AAAATACTACATCCTGCATAAAAGCACTGCCAAGACATGTGGAATAAACCCATATTTATTACTAGATAATCCCAGCTATAATCTAAAAAGCATGAATCAGAAAAATATAAGCATGTGTAAATACACAGACAAACTTCGAAGTGGACAGGCATGCCCCTCTAATGCCTCCGAGCTATTACATACACACATTTAAGGAGAAGCAGCATATACATGCAAGCAATAGGTTTCTGTAAAACTGGAGGTTTTGTTTGTGTTTCCATCATCCCTACACACAGTTGTCAAGCTACAGACCAATTAACCTGAAATAACCCTGCGCTAAAGTCTTGAACACAAACCAAAGCACTGGGTTGATGCAAAGAAAGTGTTACCATCTTAACCAATTCACATGAAAAATGACTGTGGCAATATCATCACACTATAGGTATCCTAAAACAAAACAGGTCACATTTTGCTTTTTTTGTCACAGGAAAGGCAAATTGATGCATAATTAACAATTGGCCAATGCAAATTCTTTTACATCTTTTAATTGGTGTTAATTAGATTAGAAGTAAATTTTCTTTTATCTCAACACTCTAATGCGAACTAATCTTCTCAGCAGCATGTCAAAGTTTCCCTTTTAATTAAACTTTTCAGCTGGGAACTTCGGCAGCACTCAGGCAGCAAAATATATAATTTAAGGCACATGAATTGTGCTAGGTTTTATGAATGGAACATCAAAAATTTAAAGCAATGATTAAAAAGGCTGAGCAGAAGGTCAGAAATCTGAATTTTGTGGAGGCAACAGTGAGCTTTTAAAGCCGCTTCGAGTATGTGTCAGCAGCACTCTCTAGCCACCCCTTCCACATTCAAATCCATCCTTTTACAAAGGAAAACTACCCCAAATGTAAAACATCTTCTGTGAATTAACGTTCCCCTTTCATACTGCTTTCCCCAAAATATTGCTGCTCCTCTAGAATTGTTAACGTGCAGAATAAACCACAAAATACATTTAATATCTTTTATGGGAAGTTGACCTGAAATAAAATTTTATGTAGTTAAAGACTTTTGATAGTTCTTCATCCAACTTTTTTCTCTCTCTATGGGGCAACGGTGATTGAAACCTAATGTCTGCTGCACAAAAAGGCCATAAAATGTTTTATGCAGAAGTAAAACAGTAGCCATTAAGTTTTGCTATAATGTTTGAGTAGATATGCAGCATGAAAACATGATAAAAGAGCCATAAACTGATTGTGATCAAATGCAATTACAATGACTTCTCTCCAATGAATGACATGTACTAAATGCACTTACAGTTCCTTGCAAAATTACTTTGGGCAAAGGACCAAGAAAACACTATATCCTTTTTACGAACGGCAGCTTGCCAGGGAAATCGCAAACACACAAGCTTTAATATCTGTGGCCAAAAAGCACTTGGGAACTCATTAGGAAAAGGTTAAAAAGACTCACTTGTGAAAGACGGCTTTTTTTTGTGTGATTAGAACAGCATCCTGGAGAGTCCAGCGTTTGGGGTGTTAGGAAGAAGTGGTCCCGGAGAAAGGAGAGAGGAGCCCTAGGAAGAGTGGGTACCAAACTCATCATGCGTTGACTCCATTACAAAAGTATATTCCGGAAAAAAGCAATTGTTTCGCAGTATTTTTCATTAAAGCTGCCTGATTGAGGACAGGAGGTGAAAATGGCCACATGGCCTAAAAACATATATTTTGCTGGGAATAATGTCTGTCAGCACTGGAAGATAGAAAAATAATTAAGATAGAAGCCAATAGATTTGAATTTAGATGAATCTGATGATTCTTTACTGTGAGAGTGGTGAGGCACTGAGAGATGTTGCCCAGAGAGCCTGTGGATGCCCTGTCCCTCGAAGTGTTCAAGACTGGGTTGGATGGGGCTTAGAGCAACTTGGTCTAGCAGAAGGTGTCCCTGCCCATGGCAAGGGTTAGAACTAGATGGAACTAAGGTCCCTTCCACCACAAACCATTCTGTAATTCCATGAGTCTATGAAGTACACTGTTTTTAAAGGTGAATAAGAACCAAGATCTTGGGAGTTTCATCCTTTTGATTGTGTTTTGGGGTTTTGGTTAGATAGCCTGGTTTAACTTTCACTCATCCAAAGGATTTCTACATTTTGAGTAGTCAAATCAAACCCCTGGACTTCCTGAGGAGTACACTGCAAGGAGAAGACACACTCAGGTGTCAGAAGGTGGTGAGAAGTGCCAGGTATTTCTGTGGCTAACAAGATTTAAGGAAGATGCTGTAGAGATATTCCAAGTAATCTCTGTTCCAAAAGCAAACATGCAATACTAATGTGGCAACAGCAGTAATTTCTGCAAGGGTGAAACTGCTCTGAAGTATTTCAAAAAGTGCAAACCAAGTAGCACTTTTTTTATAGTGTCATAATTTTCTACGTCTTCCTGGAAATAAAGGGAATGGAAACCAGGACCAGAACTTAAGGCATTTTCTTTATACAGGAAAGACAAAATAGACTTGGAGCTACAGATGTCAATTAGTATTTAATAAAGACGGTGAAAAAATCCACCAAACTGTCACTTTCATTGTCTAAGAAAGTACAATTATTACATTTTAGGGGCATCTTGGAAGCGTAGAATTAACTCTGATGCTTAGTACAGGCACTAAATGGGCTACCAAAGCTAGTATGATACCCAGGAACAAGGTGAGGAGAGAATTCAACCTACTTAGTGAAAGAATGAATTCCCACCACACCACCAGGATCCATTTTAATGGAAGCTTAAGATTTTACTAATTTGATTTTATTTGATTTGATTAGTTTGATTTTATTAACAGCTTATAGAGTTGCTACAAAGATGAATTATTTATCAAACGAAAAAAAAAGAAATTAAATACTAACCAGGCTTATTCTAATCTAGCACTAGCAATGTAGAGCAGTTATTTTTTTAATACTGGGGCTTAGGTTGAGGGTTTATCAGTATTTTTTATATAAACTTCAGATTTATAACTTACATTAAAATTAACAGTTCAATGCTATATAAGATGACACTGTAAGCAGCTCTTAGTATACGGTAGATTACAAATCAGAAAGGACAGAAATACTCCTTTCTAACTTATAGCAGTCTTAGGCTGTCTGAAAAATGTCATGCTAGATATCAATATCACCAATATTACCACTAAAAGAGTGAGGAAACACACAGTAACTCAAACTCCCTGCCCAGAAAGCAATTAATCTCTCCTTCTAAAAACCAGAGCCCTCTCAGCCTTCTCCTGTCTTATTAAATCATAAACCACAAACAAACATCAAAGCATTGCTGCAACGTCATATAATTACTCTAAGACCTCCTAGACTGTGTAAGAAAATGGGAGGAAAATTTGGATGTGAAAGAAGTAATGTTCACTGCTCCAGAGGCAGTGCTGGGATACAGCACTGGGCTTCGGTGCCTCCCTGCTTAAAAGGTGTTTCTTTAAATCCTGTGCATTAGCTTTTTAATATTATCAATTTTGCAACAGTGACCACCAGTCAGTAATTACTAATGGTAATTAAATTCTACTGAAATTTAACAAGGAGAATGTCTATACGAAGATGTAGCACTCATGGAACAAAACCCTTCTACGGCAGAGTGTTAAATAACAGTACATTCAAAAATTGGAACATTCAGACTCATGATACACTCCTTTTAAAGTGTGTTCATATGATGAGGAATAGCCCCTTCTCTAGGTTTTTAAGAAGAACCCAGATTCATCACTGCTAAACTTCTCCTCTTTAGATAAGTGCAAATTGTTCTTGAGCCCAAACTGGTCCTCAGCAGTGGTGTGCATTGTGGGTAAAACATGAAACAGTGGTGCTAACACTTAAGGCTGTACAAGGTGTAAAGACTGTATGCAGAAGGCATGACACAGCCTGACTCCGCCCAGCGTCCCCCAGTAATGGAAAAAGTTAGACATTTGCTCTGCCGGTGTTAAACATACCACGAGCAATACAATTCCTTCACAGAGGGGACGGAAGTCCTAGAAATCCTGGTTGATTCTTGGTTGGAGGAAGCTCCCACTTCTCTGGGTTTTTGAAAGCTACACTTCCACCTGCACCAAATCTAAGTAACCAAATAAACAATACGCGGCAACAAGCAAGAATAATCTTCAGGTGGTTGTCTGATGGTTCTTGGTCAAAGGAGCAGCAGCAGCAGTTCAAGGATTTTGATGGGCTATACTGATGTCCACTGTGAAGACAGAGTTAGAGCTGCAATGAACCATGCAGCATCAGCCCTTCCCTCAATTCCAAAATTGAGGAACTGATGGCAGCCTGCTGCAAGCATGAGAATTAATGCAAGTGTTGGACTTGCAAATAATATTTAAACTCCATCACAAAAATGACCACTTAAAAAAAACTCCACAAAACTGAGGAGAAGACACAGAGAAACATCTGATTCTGAAGAATTACAGTAATCTGACCATTTGGTTCTTGAAACCTCCGGGAACAAGCTCTGCTTCTTGACAAAAACCCTTCAGTTTTCTCTTACCAAATACCTGGCCATTATAATCTTGGCCCTGCCACTAGTGTCTGGATATAAGATCCTGAAAGGATAATGCTGGTATTTGTCATGCATTCAAAAATTCTTTTTTGATGTGAAGTGGAAGATTTGGTGAAAATGAAGCTTATTTGCATTCCTCACGGATGTAAAAAGTCCTCATGCACCAAAATTCTGTTTTACTTATTGAAACTTTTTGCTCAGCCACTGCTGTGGGAAGGCGATACAAGGAGCACCACGCTGCTACCTCCAACATAAAGTATTTTCCAGTGAGTCTCTTGCCACCCACTCAGCCCTCACCAAACTACCTACTCCAAAACAAAATGATCTTTGGCACACACGAGTAAATTGCTGCAGCACAGACATATCTGGACAGTAATTAATCACTTCGAATGCTCAATGTGTTTGGATATAAAATTAAGAAAGTCGGGTTGTTAAAAAATGACAGATTTAAGCACCATCTGGGCTCTGTGGCCACAGTGGCGCGAATTCCAAAGGAAGGCTTAACAGTGCATGATCCGAGAATCCCATCTGTCTCAGCTGAAACGAAACAAATAAATAAATAAACCAGCAGCCTCATTTACAAGGTTTTCCCAAGTTTCCCAATTTAAAAATCATCTTGCAATAGGAAAGAATATAAAATTAAAGGTATTACATCTTCAAAATGTGTCTTGTGCCTTTTACATATATTTTTAATGTATTACACCTCTATGGAAAAATCTCTATATAGGTATGCCTATATAGATCACACGTTTTGAGTCGACACAGCATTTCCTACTACAATTATGTTTTCATAAAAATGTAGGGATAGTAAAGAATCAGTGTGATAAGACCCTTCCATTGGTTTGGGAAAGCCAAAATTCCTTTCTGGCACCCAAAAAACTCTCTTAGCTCCTTCCTCAAGGCACTGCTCACTTGCACCCGCCCCTTGCAGCTCCGCCGGTGGATTAAATGCAGCCTCCTCAGTTCCCAGGAGACCTCCCTCCGGCCACCTTGCTGCAAGGGCAGAAGCCACACAAACTAAAGTCACCTGCAACTAGTTAACCTGCAGGATGTCTTCAATAAAACTTGCCTGGCATGGGAAAGGGAAATAAATAAATAAATAAATAAATCATCCAGCACAGAATATGAACACAACTATTTGCCTCAGAAAAGCTGAGCCAGGTGGGGTTTAAGTGAACCCCAGGAATACTCTGATGAAGTTCCCAGGAGTCTGGTCCAAGTGCCTGAATGAGCATCAGGCAGGTGACTGAATGGACAACATCCAGTTCTCAAGCACCTTTGTGCATCAACCCTCAGGACAGTGCTTTCTGTGTCAATGAGCCTCTTTTTGCTTTGCAGGAAAGACGGAACTCTCCATCCCTGGCATGTACACTGACCCTGACATTGGCCCAGCTCATAGGTAGCTCACCCAAAGGAAAACACAAAATTGGCACCCGTTGAAGCCACACACTCTTCTACTGCTCCAAAGCCATGTGCTCACTTTTCCTGCAGATAAGGGCAAAGGATGGATTGCCATGAACATCTGTGGGACTTTTCTGAGGTCTTGGGGAAGGGGCTTCTCCAAGGGGTTTGACTACGACTCATCTTCTTCTCCAGCCAACAAGCGACCACCACCTCTCTTGCATAGCCACTTTTCACTAAAACTGAGTCTTCCTTCCCATCCTGCTTATCTCCAGGAGCTGGAAGAAACTCCTCAGATGAATCAGCAGGAAATATGTCCAAAAAGTACTATTTAGTATCTTTAGACCTAAATAAAAGATATCATCATCCTGTATAATATTATAGCTTCTTTCAAGTAGAGACATTTGTATGAAGGCTTAATCCTGGAAAGATTTTTTTCAGATTTTTACCTTCAATAGATCTCTTTGCATTTGAAATATTGAATATGTGGGTATATTTTTTCATTAATAATGTGACACTTCGGCCCTGCTCTCATGCTTCAATTTCTGCCGTTCATTTTTGTATGAGAGTTATTTGGACCCAAATGGATGAGCAAATAGGTAATATATTCTGTCACTTTAAACTGTTTTTAAATCAATGTCATTACGTTTGTTTATAATTTCCCTTTTTAAAAAAAATGTGTTGAGTAGTTTGTGGGGCTCTCCTTTCAGAAAACTCATGCAAACACCTGCAGGCAGCACCGAGAGCTCACCAAGACTGTAATACATATGAGGAGTTTCCATATAGCTCTATATGCAAAACTGCTGCACAGTTTCCATAAAATCTTCTACAGGAATTTGCTACACATTATAAAGAATAGAAATAAAAAGGGGGAAATGTGATTATTCTTAAATCTTCTCTCAGGAGATGTCCAGAGGGAAGACGATCTCTGCATAACCACAGAAATGAAGGAATCTGGAAAAATCACACACGAGAGCAAGCTTCTGTACAACAAAACGATGCCAGGGCCTGATGCTGGGAAGTGGCAGGGAGCAGCCCCTGCTCCATTGAAGCTGCTCCACGGGAAGGTCTCACCACCTCCGATGGTTGGCCTCTGGGGCCCTGTAAAGGTGAGCTGGCAAGGACTGCCCTGCTACTCTGCACTCCTCCGTTGCTGTTGATCTGCTACTGAAATAAATGACATTTACAGCCATAACAACAGAAGTACAGTGATTGATGGGCGGGCTCTGCCCCAGGTGCTGGGGATGGCGGGTGGCGAGCGGGTGCACAGGGTGACTGACACAGCTCACCTTGACATTCCTATGTATCCTTCCTGGGAGGACTGCTTATCTGAGACCCTTTGAGACTCCCTGTTTTTGGAAGATGACAACAAATGCAAAGTACTATCATCATTGTTGTAATGCACGATTTCAATCAGCAACAAATATTTTCTCAATAAACACTATTTATGAATTTTCTAGCAGTCAGACAAAAGATGTTTTTGTTCTCTCCGCAGATGCTGCATAAAAATGAATACACTTCCCAAAAATGGGCATTTATTTTTTCTCTACAAATAAACCAGCACATGCTTACAAATTTTTCTTTGTTTTATCAGTTTCATCAGCTTTAAAGTAAGATGAAAATATATATTTTTATCTGTAGAATTTTGAAGTGTTGTAAAACCCTTAGAGTGCAAAAATAGGCACAGAGTATTTCAAATAAGCTGAAGGAAAATATTTAATATATTTCCATAATATACAGCTATACTATAAATAACATATTTTTTGTTTCTCTATAATTTATTCTTTGTCACCCTGGTTCTTTCATTATTAAGACCATATATTGGGTTTTATATGTGCAAAACTGGTACAAGTTCACCTGTGAGAGAGTTTTTGTGCCAGTTATGTAAGAAAATAATGAACTCAATCCTCATCACTACACACCTTCTTGGGGACATGATCCATAGAAAGGGTAAACATTTTCAGATTGTGCTGTGGTGGTGAGGGCAAGCTATGTTTGATGCCAATCAGAGTGAAGTCATATGGCCCATGGGCTACTGATCCATTTGCACTGTGTTTGGTATCATCTCCTCCCTTTGCAGAACAGCTGTGTAAACTTTAAGGAAAGGGAAAGGAAGGGAGGGCAGCAGGGATTTAGGCTGGGGTTTGAGGGGGTGAATCCACATCAGAAGGCATGGAGGGAAGAAGGGCCAGGCAGTCCAGCTGCAGTCTGACACTGGACAGCAAGCATCCCACTGCTACCCCCAGGGAAAGCAAAAGCTTTGGGCTGTGGGACCCACATGGGGACGCAGCAGGAACCAGCCCTGGGAAGCCTGGAGAACGCAGGGGAAGAATGTAGCGCAGCTTGGCCAAATTATTTCAGAGAGGGCACAGCACAACGGGCTGCCAGAGGCAAAACCATTGCTCCAGATAGCAGGCTTTGGACACGGAGACTGCCTGGGTGCCACAGTGGGCAGTTGCATCTCCAGCAGGCATGATCCCTGTCCAGTGGGCAGCTGCAGGGCCAGGGAGCCGGAGAGGGGTATGACAGGCAGTGCTGGGGCAGCCTGAGGAGCCAGTCAGGAGCACACGGGGCCTGAGTCCTCCCGAAAAAATGGATGGCATTTTCTACTTTGGGCTTGAGGACGTTTGGCAGCCCTTGGGTGAACTGCAACCTGTCTGTGCCTTGCAGTTTTTTGAGCAGTAAAAGGGCTTGAAGTGCACATCTGCCTTGTAGTGCTCCACACTTCTAGGAGAAATTGTAAATACTTGGAGATTCTTGGGTAAAAGGAGTAAAAATATAATTACCATAAAGGAAAAAAAACATAAGAATTTTCCTTGTGGGAATGTCTCTTGTTTTACATAAATTTTCTATACAAATTAACCTGAGATGATTCTAGCCACGTGAAAAAAATTAGATCTCATTAAATGCTTGCTTTGCACTGAATGCTGAAATCTGCTGGGCGACGCTTCTGAAGAGTTTGCATGCAAGAAGTAAAACTTAAGGGAGTAAAAGGTAAAATAAAAGTCTGTCCTTAGTGCTGAACCCAAATTATGGTGAAATCGAGTTAAACAACAGCATGTGTTGGTGCTAATCTCCACTTTCAGAGGGAAATTATTTCTGAAATTCCCCGAACTCGCTGTAATTACCCAGCCGAGGGTGGCTGCCTCAGAGCAGGCACGGCACCATTTCGGCGACGAACCTTTACAGAAGCGGTGAAGCCACTGAAATTATATGAAGATTAATAGAAATCTGAACCGCGCTACATCTAAAATAAACAAAAGCTTTTGTAGCCGCGCTGAAAGGCCCATAAAAGTAAACTACAACCTCGGCAAAGCCTTTTAAACTGACAAAACAGGACGGCAGAGGTCAGGGAGGCAGGCGGGTCAGCAAAGCCCTGCCTAAAGGTTTGGGGGTTGCTCCGTGTCCCTGCTCAGTCGCTCGCTCACATGGGGGCCTCGCCGGGGCCAGGGAGAAACCCCACTGCCGCTCCTCCCTCCGCCGGAGCAGGAACACTTGAACTGCCCTTCTGTCTCAACAAAACTTTAGTTTGCTGATTGGGCACGAAACAAAAGAAAGACAGCGGGACGCGATTTATAAGGGGGCAGGGTAGGCTGACATTCTATTGTACTCCAGAGGTATCCACAAGCTGTTAATTCCATTTTAACATTGTTAATAAGACTGTTAACACATCTGACTTTGTTTAGAGACTTTGAAAACATCAACAAACTAAAGAAAAAACCAAACCAAAACAAAAAAAAATCAAGAACTCCACCCACACTAGAAGTAAAATATGATCATTTCAAACAGCATCAAACATCCAAACGTGACACTTCGGCGTGTCCGGACCTGGCAGCGAGGAGGAGGAATGGCAGGGAGACTCAGGGAGACATGTGTCCACATATTCTTCATCCTCTCTTTAGACTATTTAGCTATTCACATTTTCCAGGTTAAATTTAAAGGACTCGTTTCTAACACCATTGCCGTTTCGAGAAGGAGAGGGAATAAACCTGGACTGCCCCCTCTGTGCACACCTCCTCTCCCTCGCTCGCTCTTGCACGCAGGCAAATGTGCAGATTTAATCAGTGTGGAATGTTTTAAATGAATAATTGGGTCTGACAGATTTATTGCAGTTAATTTTGCAATA